TTTCACTACAAAAACTAATTCAGTGGATTATCGATCTCACAATAGATCTGATTGATGTTGTCAGTTTAGTAGTTGAAATAATTAATTTTATTACTTTACACACTCGACTTTAGTTTATACAACTGACTAATACCATTGGCTCACCAGTACACAGGACAATTCATTTCAGAGTTAAGTGATCGAAATCTGTATTTGATAAGTTAGTAATACTTTAGAGAACGAAAACTTGGTGGGGTCAATCAATTTGTTGTTTAGTGCAATTATGAGTATTTTCATAAATTATAAAACCCATACATTGTATACTTACTTCATTCGCACATCTTTCATTAGTTCCTTTTTTTGCTTCCTTCAGTTCAATCTTTTCAATAAACTTTTTACAGGGATTCCACTCCTGATTGGTGTTATATACTACTTACAACTGTCAATGTAAGTAGTAAACATCAAAACATTTGGAAATTACGCATGAAATAATTATTTAATGGAGTTTTGTGGGGATTGATTTTATTTATAAATTCTATTCGTGATAGATTGATTTTCTTTCGAGTATCATAGAAGCACACATAACAGTACATATACATGACCATATCAAGGAACTAATTTAGTTACTAATGAAATGGTTAATTTGTTTATTATTGGCACTCTAACTGATATCCACAAATTAATCATGGAAAAAACTCAGTAACCAAGTATTTCACCTTGACTGAAGTTTCTTTTCAAATTATGAAAAGAATGCACTTCGTAGATTATATGACCTAATTCAATAAACATAGATACACATATATACAAACTGAGTTGTAAGTATGTTCTTATAAATGAGGCTGTATTTTGAAGTGTATATGAGATGGAATTATCTTATGTTTAATAGAATGAGTAGTATATGCAATAATCAATAACGAAGTTTAGTACAATACATTGCAGTAGTCAGAATTTTTTAAGCATAGATGCTTAATGTCTAGCAGTAGAAACCAAAATGTGGACTTCATTTTATTCGGAACTCGTCGGATGGTATACCTGTAACCTGGAGTTGACGTTCTCTTTGGGACTCGCTTCAAAGACCACTATGTTATCCGTATGGCCACTAGCTTAGGCATCGGGGTGAATTTTACTTCAAATATATGGGTTATTTAAATCTTTCCATTGATATTTAGGGTTGAAATAAATCAGCATCTTTTTGTATATGAGTATTATATTCAGACTGAATTGATATTTCCATTAAATCACAATGATATTAAGGCAAACATGAATGGTGATAAAAAAGTACCGGGTTCGAATCCCGGGATGATCATAAACTTTGGGATTCAGGTACATCCAGCTGACAAAACCCAAATAGAATGATACACATCCCACATTCGATTGCTGCCCACAATTCATCTGTTCTTATATCACTTGTGACTTAAGGGGAATATCGAGGCAATCCTCAAACGATGCACATATACCAAAAAGAAACTGATCCGTTTCAATCTTTAACATTATTGGAAGTATTCTAACAACCAATACATATAAATTAAAAAGAGTAATATCATTATTATTTGTTCTTGTAATACAATAACTCTATTTACAGTCCATTTACTATCACATAAATGTTCATATCACAGCTACAAAAATGATCTCAAACTTCTGTTAACACTGTTCTTAGTTCATAAAATAAATACGTACGAATCAGTTGATGTTATGTTCTATGGTCTCACGTTTACTAACTGTGTCGTACCTTACAAACTTAATCATATTTCAGTTTATCTAATCAATTTTTAATAATTAGTAACATAACTAATATCCAGAAAACCCTTCTGATATGAATCAATATATGCTCAATAGTGACCGGCTTCAAAATGTATTTCCTGGAGTTCTAGTGAGGAGCAGTGACCAGTGGAGCCCGACCAGGTCTGTTGTCAAATAGTAACTCACTGATGACAATGGTGGATGTGTCGATTAATTTTGTGGATTGGTTGAAGTTAGACATTAACACTGTTGGATGCCGGTCGGCCCAGCGGTCTTGTGGTTAAGCGCTCGCTCGCGAAGCCGATTGCTGCTAATTTCGAATCTTGCAGGGGCTGGATCGTGGACGCTTATTGCCACTGAGGAGTCCCACAATAGAACGAAACGTCCGTTCAGTCCTAGAAGGTTTTTCATGGTGGTCTAGCTTCAATTGACTCATGCTTTCAACTATTGAAAATTTAAACAATCATCAAAAACCTAGAAGCATTTGTCAATCATTCCATCCTATCAAAGAACTTCTAAGCAATTTATATCCACAACCTTATAAACAGGAATCGAATCCAAAAATCTATGATCTCCCACATGAGCACTTAATCTACGAACCGTTGAGACACGACTTAGTCAATTGCAAATCTAATTTCATTTCGTTCACAATTCTTAGATACACATTATCATAGAAATAGGTTTGTTTAATTGCTACAGTCTTTTTAAAAAAAATAGCTGCTATAACAGATAACAATATCATAGTGTAAATAGTAATCATAGTTGCTATGGTTTACAACCTGAATGATGATCATAATATGAGCACTACTTAAAGATCATTAACTAATTATCTACCATTAAGCGTATTATCTGTTAAAATTAAGTGATTGTAATCATTTTAGACATCTATCTATCTATCTATTTATATATGCGTTAACATAACTGATTATGTCATAATTCGAGAACAGTATGTCAATAACTAGTAACGTGTAAAATCCATACTATAAACCATAGTAATAATAATAATAATAATAATAATAATAATAATAATAATAATAATGTTAATCATGATAGTAACAAGAAAATGCACTGAAAGGGAATTTATATTCCATTTTACTATAAATCAATTCATTAATCAATCAATCTATTTCATTAAGAGAGTGAAAAAGAAGAAGAAGAAGAAAAAAGAAGCAATCACTAAGGTTATCAATCAAAATAATACATATTTATTGCGTAAGAATAGTATTGTAATAATAATGATTTTATCAATTATGCCTGTATATAGTTTACACAATATACATACATAAATACTGATAATGAATTGAATTCAAAAGTATAAATTGTTCATGTATAATACTATGTCATTAACTTGATGGAAATAGTATGGTATACATTTCTTATATGGACAGATATAAGTAGTATGTAGTAGAGATAGGAAGTAGGAGATTGAATTGAAGAGAACAAAGAATAATTGAAATATAATAACAAAATCGGAAGAATGATAGAGTATTAAGTAAAGGATAACTTAAGGAAAGTGTGCAAATGATGTACTGAATGTATGATTTTCATACTTGACAAAAACAATTTGTGTTTTTTCATGAAACGATAAATTCGTTTACCGTACCTTAGTTTCCGTTATATTATTGAACATTAGTGTAAATGTTCGGGATCGAAGGTCCTGGGTCCGAATCCCTATGGCGGGACCGTGGTGCACACTGTTGAGTAGTCGCATACTGGGACGAAACGGTCGTCTTGTGTTTCCAGGTTTTTAATGGTGATCTAGCTTAGATTAACTCATGAATTCAATTTTGAAGATACTACAATCTCCACAAACCCATGCTGATAGCACGTTTTGATGAATCTATTTTTACTGACCCAAACTATTCCATCATAATGACAAATTCATTTTAGCCTTACTCAAAAATCATCCATAAATTGCAGTCTCACCATCTTGTCTGCTGGATTCTTTTCTTTTAACTTAATACTAAGAATAAATAAAGGGAATATTTTAACCCAATAAGAGTTAAGATTATCTCAGCTTCATATTTAAGGTTCATTGTTGCGACTCAGAGATGTGTAAATAGTCAAAACTTAAGACATTAGTTCTCTGATGAAATCTTGAGTTTCTAAATCTCCCTGGAACTATACTAAATACAGTAACAGTAGAAACATGGCTCATGATTACTCACTTGTTAAACGTTTTAATACTAATTGGAAAAAAACATTTCTTAGAGGTTCCTGGGCTTCTAGAAACTTTGACAAGGGATATTTTGAGACTCCACAACATGCATATATCTAAACACACACTGATTTCCAATGAACCATAAAATTATATTCGTTTGTATAGATAGTTAGCTATCTCGTCTTTATATTACCATGTTAAATAACACTCTATATTCTATACTGAACAAAATTATATCATGAAAACTCTAAAATGATAGTTTTGTAATTTAGATCGTTGAGATAATGAGTAAATTAAGGGGAGACCACCATGAAAAACCTGGAAGTACTGGACGGCCGTTTCATCCTACTATGTGACTCCTCAGCAGTGCGCGTCCACAATCTAGGCTAGCGAGATTCGAATCCAAGACCTATCAGACTGATAGTTTTGTGTTTAAATCAGTAAACTATTCATTAACAGATGACGAATCTGTCTCTACTAGTATTCTTGTTGTCTTTAACATAACATATCAGTTTATTATTAAATTCAAGTACACAATACATGTAATAGGCAAAAATCAGTATCATTATTCATATAATTCACTATTTCACTTGTACCATACTACATATGATTACATTATCAAAATTATGCAATGAATTAGTTATTTTCGCCTAAATTTCATTAGGCAAAGATGGATAATAGCTAGCAGTTGAATCCAGGACGCGCTACTGAGTTCTCAGTAGGTAAGTGGATGACGCGGTGGCGTTTGAAGCAAACAGTACTAGAATCGTAGTCCCACAGGGAACATCAACTCTATGATGTAGGTACATCCAGCTGACGAGTCCTAATTAAGACGAATCACGCATCCTGGATTTCATTGCTAGCCACTATCCATCTTTGCTTAAAAAGCTTATCACTAAAGACTATATCAAGACAATCCGCATAGAATGTACCTATGCCAAAAAGAGAGACTGATCATTTACAACACTTAACAACAATTGGAAAATATAAGTAAAATAACACTAAGTGAATTAAAATGTTGTTATCCTTTGTTTAACTTGATAGTGTCAATACTCAACAAACATTATAGTTTTTTTCCTGTGTGATTTTAGAAGAAAATTATCGACTATTATAACTAATAATGGTAACTATGTCTTAATAATAAGAATGAGTCAAGTGTTCACACAGTTATTATTATTATTTTTTGTTTTAATCATTTTGTTTATTTCCCCCCACCCGGGTAACATTTAAAAAAAAGAGAGAAATTCATTCTGAGTAACCATGTAAAACTGTAGTGTATGTATGTTTGTTCATACATTGATGATATTCATGTAGAGAAATGTTTAATCTTTTTTTTCTTTAAAGGAAAAAGTTAAAATAGTAGTATGTTAGTTCTGATTTGATAAAAAAGTTAAATTATTTAATTTTAAAAAAAGAAAGATATTTGACATTGAATATGATACTTGATAGTTGTTTTAATATAAATAGAAAGAGAAATTTGTATCGTATCATAGTGGTGTGTGGATTGTTACTACTACTACTACTACTACTACTACTACTACTACTACTACTACTACTACTACTACTACTACTACTACTACTACTACTACTACTACTACTACTACTACTACTACTACTACTACTACTACTACTACTACTACTACTACTACTACTACTACTACTACTACTACTACTACTACTACTACTACTACTACTACTACTACTACTACTACTACTACTACTACTACTACTACTACTACTACTACTACTACTACTACTACTACTACTACTACTACTACTACTACTACTACTACTACTACTACTACTACTACTACTACTACTACTACTACTACTACTACTACTACTACTACTACTACTACTACTACTACTACTACTACTACTACTACTACTACTACTACTACTACTACTACTACTACTACTACTACTACTACTACTACTACTACTACTACTACTACTACTACTACTACTACTACTACTACTACTACTACTACTACTACTACTACTACTACTACTACTACTACTACTACTACTACTACTACTACTACTACTACTACTACTACTACTACTACTACTACTACTACTACTACTACTACTACTACTACTACTACTACTACTACTACTACTACTAGTACTACTACTACTACTGGTACGAGATTCTAGGGTTCTAGCCAGGGAAGCCTGTTGACCGATTTGACATAGGGTGCGTACGTTGAAGGCTCCAATGTGTAGTTCACAGCGGGGTTTCAGTAGAACTGGGACAGTTTTTTGAGCACTAGATTCGTCTGCTGTGGTGACACTTGGGGGGGGGGGAGCCGAAAGAGGAAGTTTAGAGGTGAAAGTCAATGTAGGAGGAATAATAGGAATTAAAGAGGGAGGTTGATTATGAGTACAGTTGTCTTGAGTGCTGTTAGAGGTGCATATATGTACATATCTGTGCCTGGTCCTACGTTGTAGCTGACTGACTGACTGACTACTACTACTACTACTACTACTACTACTACTACTACTATTACTAATAATAACAATAATAACCATTATTGAATAAATTCAAATACTTTAAAAAAAGCTTAAATGTGAAGAAACCGACAAAACAATGCAAAGCTGATTTTCTAATGTCAATTAATTAGTTAATTAATTAATTAATTAATTAATTAATACACATGAACACAATGACACATACACGCATGTATATAGAACTTGTGAAGAAAAGAAGAGAATTGACTTTATTCTTAATTTCTAGTAGAATTTTAAATATCGTTTAATATTTTATAGTATTAGGATGGAGGATTGTAGAGATTGTAGTAATTTTGAATAGTTGAATACATGAGTCGATGTAAATTAGACCATCATTGAAAACATGGAAGTACTGGATGGTTGTGCAAGATTATGGATCGATCAAATTTAAACATAAACACCGTGGTTAATAGGTTAAGCGTTTGTGTGTGAGACCGAAGGTCTTACGTCTGAATGTTATATGCGGGATTGTGGATGCCCATTGCTGAAGAATCTAATATTAAAACGAAACGGCCGTCTAGTGCTTTCAGGTTTTCAATGGTAGTGTTGCTATACTATACGAGTATTTCTTCAATATAACTTACAACCAAACTCTTTCGTGTAAGTAATCTAAACCCATTATGCAATTATGATTTTAAATATCACAGGTTGTAAGCAGCTGACGAGAGCCAGCTAAATAAAATGAATTCATACTATTTTCCTAGAATCTTTGTTCTAGCTCTTTTCAAAATGATAAAGGGAACTATGTGTATGAAATGGTGGTTTAGCTTAGATCTATTCATAAATTCAACCATTAAACGTTCTATAATACATTAAATGATCTGAAAATGATTGATTATAAGTTATGTATGCATTCGTATTGTATAGAATTTAACTCATTTGTTAATTAGACACTAATGCTTAAATAGTAAACTTAGACATGTAAACTGTCAGATGATCTATACGAATATTTGTCAAGATTAGAACGAATAGTTTGGTTAAAAAAATTGGGCGCCAAGTATAGAGAAGTTATTATATGTGTAAATTATATTTGAAATAATCTCAGTGATTGAAATTTAAAATAATTCCAAGGTTTCGTCCGACAAACTTGTCTGAACTTCATCAGGGTAATTTTGATTATTACATATAATGATATCAGATGTTTGCTTAAGTGTTTTAAAACTAAACGACAATTACGGGATTTATTGTTTCTGGATTTGATTTCCCGATAAATTCATGTATGAATACCGCTGTATAACCTTGATCGATGGGATTTGGTCAGCACCGAAAAGGACTTAACATATATTTTATTGATCACTACTCAATGATCCATCAATTGTAAATACATCACAATTATACGTGAGGTCATTTACGGTCCGAATAACACAGTGGTAACATCTCTGATTAGGAAGCTGGATGATGCGAGCATGTACTATCACATATCAGGGAGTTTCAGTTCACTTAAGGTTAATGTTAAGGATGCTATAACCTATTTTTGTAATTACATTGAGGTCATTTCAATCTCTCAAAAAGTGCTCACATTTACCTTCATTGTGTTTCCCATTAAGAAGTACCTTGAACTTAATTGGTTTATCTTCACTTTTATACGCTATTTCGTGATATTTTTCAAAAATATTCTTGTATTTTACACATGAGTTGTGTGCCTGTTCGTTCGTTCTTCCGGGATGTTTGTGAAACTGCATATTTTTCTCGGCTGAATTTGGTCTTCTTCCATTAGTTAATAGGGCTGGGGCTGAGAATAAAAGCTTAGCTTATCCTCTTGTTGCGCTGCAGACTTTCGTTCCATTCGCACGTTCAAGGTGATAACTTAATCTCACAAACATAGCAATTACAGTTATATCTTGTTGACAAATGTCGAGTAACACGAAATCTATGTCGTCTAGAGTATCCTGTTGATTATTTCAAACCATCACCTTAGATCATTAAACTATATCATGTAACATAAGTGTATAGTTTATTTGATATTAGAACGATTGAAAGCAAGTGATGGTTTATGATTAATAGATATATATCTTGATAATAATGATTGAAGCAGCCTGGAAAACTCAGATGAGGATATGGGAAATAAATCCCTTTAGCAGATATATACTAATTCATTTGCGCATTTCTCATTTAAACAAAAAGATTTAGAAAATATCGAGAGAACAGAAGAGCATCTATCTTAACCATTGAACAGTATATTCACTAAATAACAATTGAATGTACAGATTATTCTCGTATTAAATGACAATTATGATCTAATGAGTGATTGACACACTTTTAAATTGTTTTGATTTCTGATACGTCATAATTGACATTAGTTAAAAAAAGTTAAAAGACTTAAAAGTACAGAACGACATTTTTAAAACTTAATATGGCCCTCCTCAATAGTATGTATTCACGACCTCATCGGTAGAAATCGAACCAAAGTCATAATATTGATCTATGATGGTAAACTTTAAATTTAACGAACTTAACAACATCCCAATAGTAACAGTCATTATGTGCCACCCAGCAACTAACTTGAAATGGCAGTTGCCTTGGTTCTACTAAGAAGCTATGGCCAGTGATTTTCAGTCATGTTGGATGTACAATACAAACATCTTTCACGGGAATGTACACTTACGGTTTATTGACTGAGATTATAGACTCAATGATCTGAAAGTTAAGCGTTGATTATGAAACCGCATATTACTGAGTGTTCAGTTCCTAGTAGGTTATTGAATGTTTATAGTTGAAGCATTTCATCTTATGATGTAATAACTGTTCAATGGTTTCTTGTTTCTGATCCTTATCTAATTATTGTGTGTAGATAGCTTGGAAATGATTGTATAGTGTATATACAAGTCTCAACAGTAAAAACGAATATCAAACGGTGATAATAATAATAATAATAATCAAAGATGTATAGTGGCTAGCAGTGGAATCCAGGACGTGCGTTTCGTCCTATTTGGGACTCGTCAGCTGGATATACCTGGTCTTTGCATATAATGCTTGTGAATTAAGGCCATATTGAGGCAATACACACAGTATTCACTTATGCCGGTAAGAGACTGATCAATTGCAGTCCTAAACATCAATGGGAAGATTCAAACAAACAGTGCCAAATGAATTTGGATGTTGAGACCAAACGATGATGTAATTTATTTAAATAGTTGAGATCATGAGTCAACTGAAGCTAGACCATCATATAGAACCTGAAAGCACTGGACGACCGTTTCGTCCTATTGTGGGACTTCTCAGTGGCAATGTGCATCCACGACGCCGCCTCGCGAGATGCGAACCCAGAATCTATCAGTCTCCACAAAACCACATCTGATAGTAATTTATTCACCCAAGTAGAAATTTTTGTATATATGGATTTATTCTACGATGAAAGTCAGTGTTAAGATCTTTTTGTCTAGTTCAAACTAAAGTAGATGAAATATAATGATTGAAATTTAAATAAATTTGATGATACTTTGAATACGACAGAAATACACAATAATAGTTTCTTGTAGTAATATAAACGAGATCACTAAAAACCATTTAGAGAAGAAGGAAATAATGTTTAGAAAGAGTTAAATGTAAATTTTTAAACAGAATTGGATGGTGATTAGCAATGGAATTCAGGACTAATAAACTGATCAGTTCGAGTCTTAAATTTCAATGAGAAGATTCAAATAATGAATAACTATAAATTAAAATTTGTTCCATTTCATAAGCTAGTAATTGTTTGAACTAAGTAGCTAAGTGCAATAACACTGTCATTTGAAGCGAATGGTGATGGGTTTGAGTCTTGGAGTGAAAATCATCCCTAGAATGCAAGTAAATCCAGTTGACGAGTCTCAAACTATATTCCACTACTAGCCACTATCTATCAGTGTTTTAAAATACTTTTGATGTAATGACAATATCAAGGTAATCCTCACATAATGCACATACACCGAAGTAGACTAATCTATTGCAGTTCTATACACCACTGGGGAAAGTCAAACAAGTAATATATATATCGAGAGAGAGAGAGAGAGAGAAATACATATTTGAACACTGACAATGATTAGAATAATATGAGATTATATGTTGACTATTTAAAAGAAAAAGAGTAGATTATCTCATATGGACTATGCACTATGACTGATAAAGAGGTTTCGATTAAGTGCACGTTAAGTACATACAAAGTGGGAAGTGAGTTGTATTTAGTTCAGTAGTTGCCATTTTCGCTACATCTTAAATCATTAAGTCATTACATCATCGTGTTAATCAAAAATAATCTCATATATATGATTTCAAGATAAATCTGACTGATTGAATATTATTCTGAATTAATTAGTGAATAAATCAGTTAGCTATAAGGAATGTCGAATCTGACACACATTTAAATATCATCTAGTTGTCATGTAATCTATACATAATTAGATTAAACTATTACAACAAATTCTGGAGTAGTCGATGTAGGAAACAGTAACAGTAATGTCAGTAAACATGATGTATGGATGACAATATGATTCAAGATGTATAGATGAATTCTTAGATAATGAAAAGTGTAAAAAAACATTTTTTTTAACTTAAGATTTGAAGCGGGAAGGGGTGGAAGATTACAAATGATAACTAACGCCTTCAACTACTGGTCATGGTAATTACTTTGACTAGTTAAGTTTTAACTAGTCAACAAAGCTCAAACCAAT